TCCCTAACAAGAGGCAGCGATTTACTGAGGTGATAAGCTGTAACTAATACTAGGGTATCATAATAGGTAAATAGATTAGCACCGTGCTTCTCTGTATTTTGCTTTCTAGGGAGCCCACTGGCTCATTCACCTGGAGATGCTTGCTACAGCACTTTGCACCGCGCCGAGTTAAATCAGTCAGTTAACAGGATTGCAGCTATCGGTGCTGGTGTGGATGCAGCTAATGAAATGAATTAGTGAATCTATGGGGCAGCATTGATCGCTTACCCTGTTTTCCATCCCCTTTCTGTTTCCTGGCCCAAAAGGGATTGTAATGGGCTGTACCAATATTCGATGCTATGGCTATAAACTATCCTTTGAGCTGCGTCCATCAGCATCCATCACGTAATTTTTGCAAGTATACCGACACCATTTGTCGTCAAGAAGAAAGAAGTGGCGTGGGCAGCCTGGGCGTGATCCATGGCTTCCCCCAGCTTGAACTCCTTGGTGTTCCTAATGGAAGGACCCGGCGCTTCTAAAGTGGTTGTGATGCTGCTGCTGGGTGACAGGCATGCATGGCTCTGAGGGACAGGACGGTGCCATGGAGCGGGCAGCAGAGGCCTTTGTTTCTGTACTGCCTGGCAGGTTTTCGGCACAAAAGGGCCCTCACAGGAAAGGAACAGTACCAGGGGATGTGGCCAGTCCTAATAATTGTGTCACAAATCTTGTGGTATTTGGCACGTTCCTAAAGACCTGGCTCCTAGAGGCGAGGCAGGGGATTAAATAACAATTGCTTCCTTTCTCTTTCAAGCAAGGCTTAGCTCTGTGGTTGCAGAGAAATGCTTGAAATGTGACTCAGGATGGGGGGTGGGGGGAATCTTTGCCTTCCAGCCCCCTTCTCTCTCCTCGTCCCCATGATCCCAGTGTGGATACGTTGTGATATCTTACGATTTTTTTCAATGAAAGTGTTTAAAACTATTGGAGGTATCCAGAAGGACATAAGGTGTGGCCAACTCTGGGTGTGTGGGAGTATTTCTGAGTATTTTAAGCAGAGGTCAGTCACATTCTGTGCTGAGACACACTCTTGCAACGTCTGGTCCTCTTCAGAGAAAGGACAAACAAAAATGGGACTGGGTGGCAGCAAGCTGAATATCTCTGAACGGTTTTTTTCTCTTGCTTCCTTAGAGAAACCCCTTGGGCTACTCGCAATTGAAATTTCTCTTATTTTTAAATCTTTCTGTTTTTCTGTTTCACAGATGTGAAAGCTGAGGCTGCTCATTTCTGTGTTGGTTTCCTAATGCAGTCATTGTTAGCAAATCCGTATTGATTTATTCCTATGAAAATGCATCAACGCTTAAAGTAAAACGCAATCCCATTAAGAATGATACAGGTTTTGCAGATGGAGAAAAGTAGGTCAAATACTGCACCAATCATCCCAGAGTGTGTCCCTTTAAGCCAAATAAATGTGTGAATACACTTAAATTGTCAGCATGTCATTTGATTGCCATTATTTTGCATCTTTTGGCATGAACTGGCAGAGCCCTGTGACTGAACAGGGTTGAACACGTCAATTCTGGTGTATTAACCAGGTTGTATTTTACACCTGGGCTGCATACGGGGGTGGAGGGGGGTGCGTGTTTAAGGATTTTTCCTTTCTTCCCATTGCAACAGTTGACTTCAACTTTAGCAGGAAAGCCACATCATTATATGCAAGGGACATTGTAGCAATGCAGCACAGGAACACGATTTAAATCTGATCATTAAACTGCCGCAGCAAGAGGCTGCGAGAGACGGTGTGGATGGTCCATCTGCAAAATCTGTGCTCCTGTTGTACAAGGAGGAGGGGCGGAGGGGGGGAGAAAAAGCAGCTGCTTGGCTGTGCCATGAGAGGGAGAGACTGACTGTTGGCACCATCTGTAGCTGTCCTTTGTGCTTGCTGCTTTATCTGTTCATTATAGTAGGGTACTGAATTTCTCGTGCTTTGAGTGTAAATGAGTTGAGATGCGCCTAATACTGTCAGCATAAAAAGCAGTAACTAAGTACACTAAAGATGAATAGTGTAATCTGTAAATTCATTTTGAGTTTGTTTCATCTTGCTTGAATAGCCCAGGAAGTGATGTTCTCCAGAAGCCAGCTGTACCAGATGTGCGTGTGGGGTATATATTCATCTTACCAAGCGGAGAGCAGAGCGGTGGAGGTGGATGGGGCAGGGGACATGAGAGGCTGCCCCAGCATTTCCAGCAGAGGAGAGTAGATTCCTTTAGAGGGTTCTTGCTCCTACTGAGCATGATAGAGGGGGACTGGTAACAGCTCTGTTTTCATTCCATGCACAAACACCGATTCAGGGAAAAGAGCGATTATTATACGTGGTACATGAGTTGAAATGTTCTGGGGGAGGAGAGGTTAAACCTCTCCGTAATGACTTCTGTGATAGGGATGAGTAAATTTGCTACGTTTTATACCTTCAGTCTCTTAGTTTCTAAAAACATGAGTCCTCTCCAGATAACTTGTAGAATGAAACCGTCCAGCTTATCTTCAGGACCTCTTTGTTCTTTGATGGTTTATATTTCACTTTTATAAATGTGTGTATTGGATATTGGTGGTAGTAATAACTCATTAAGATCTTTTCTTATCTTCGCCTCACCAAAGCAATGCTCTCTCATTGGCATATTCCTTTTCCTGGAGTTCTCTGCTTTTTTTCCAAGCAGGTTTGGCTTTTGTTTGCAGATGTGTGCCCTCAGACCCGTTGGGTTGTTGCTTTTATCTTATTTGTCAAGTGCATATAGGTGTGCAGAAGGAGCAGCTCCCTCCTCCCATCAAAGCCTCATTTAAGATGGACGATTTCCATTTGATGCTGTAGTAATTACACTCAGCTGTGGAAGTGCTCAGCAATCCACTATTACTCTGCGACGGCTGCGTTTAGCGTTCAGCAGAATACTTCATTCGTGTTTCTCAGAGCTCAAGTGGCCATGGTGTGCGGGAAGAAACCCTACAAGGCAGGGATTTGTATCTCCAGGCAGCTGGAAAAGGGGGAGGGGGGCCTTTGTCACTGGCACATTAGTAATGATATGCCAGGGATAAAAGGTGAGTATAATTTGATCAAATGCTTGTTGACAGATTCCTTGGCTAATAGAGAAGCAGCTTAGACTGACACTCATTGCTGGAACGTTTCAGAGCTCTGGGGAACGCTTTCTGTAGGCTACATGTGAGGCTGACAATTTCCGAATGACCATATTTAGTTACATAAAGGAGCGGTGTCCCCTTTTCGTCACAGCAGAGCTCTAAAATGCCTCCCTACACACCACTCTTGACCTTCCACTTGATAAATGCAATGAAATTACCACCTCTCCTTTGTCCAAATGTGTGACTAATTCACAAGAATGGCCTGGGATTTAAGTATTTTGCTTGTGTGGCCATTAAATTTGAGAAATTCCAATTGTTTTCTGTACTGAAAAATCATATCTGTGGGTATTCTTGGCAAAGCAGGTTCCTTCTCCCCCGCCCCCCCAAATATGACTTTACAGTTAGTCTCTTTGGAATTTGTTCTGTGTTAACAGTACCTGTGAGTAGGTACTGTAAAAAGAAGGTGGTGTACCCTGAAATGATAGTTTGCTACTGCTTACGATTATGCTATTTGGTGAAAAGACAACCATTAGAAAAACAAGAACTGAAAAATAAAAGCCTCAAATTTAGAGAATTCTGCACTTGTCTCTTTTAAACCAGCAAGCCTAAAGTTACATGTTGAGCTCTCTAACTCTAAACCGCTGCGGCAGCTTGAGTTTCGAGTAGTTTTCTGGTTATCACCGACTTGTGCAATCTGTTGATTTGTGTTCGGTTCATAAAACCTCAGGAGAGCACTTAGTTAAAAATTAAATACAAAGCATTTTTTGTTCTGAGGGTTTTATAAAGCATTCTTTAAAGAAGGAAAAACCCCAAGCACTTCCACTTGAGAACGTTTCTTCACCTGCAGAATTTTGCAATTAGTTTGCACTTTGTTCTGGTGAAACTCTTCACCGTGTCATACCTTGGTGACTTTTTACCAGAGCCACTTCTGATGCTGGAATTAAACAGGCAGCTCTGAGGCTCTGTCGGGTGTTGCTGGAGGCTTCAGTGGGATGTCTTGGCTGAGTGCACTCATGGGAGCCAGATTTCACCTGCAGTCACTTTCTGGGGCTCTGCTTAATGCAAAGTAGGTGGTTTCTGTAACAGGGTCTGGTCTTTTCTGAGTGTGGGTGCATAAGAGAGAGGCCATGTTTTCAGAGATAATGGCCCCTTTCATATTTTCAGAGGGCATTGCAAGCTTTTCATCTCTCTAGGAAATCTTTGCATCTTCATAGTTTATAAGCTTGATTTTCCTGTAAGCACAGAATTACCCTCATTGACCAGAAGATGAGGCACATAATGGAAATACCCATTTAGGGGTTGTGCTGGATCAAATATAGACTTAAGTGCCTAACTTTGTATCCATACATCAGTATGGCCATATTCTCCTGTTTATTCAAGACTGGTAGCTGACAGCAGTTTCGGAAATGAATTCCTGGACATGGGTTTCTCTTCATGCCTCTCCAATTAATCTTTTGCACAAAAATAGCCAAACAGAAAAGAGATCTTGTTGTTCTTTGCTCCCCTCTGTGAATTATGTCTTCTGTATGTTTTTGTTACGTTTCTATTAGTGTGAAATGAGTTCTTCTCTGTCTTTTTTCACTCACAACAGCTATCCCATGTCCTTGTGCCTCATCCATTCTTCATCTCTGTGCCAGTCAGCTCAGACAAGTTCTCTTGTGCCTCCCAGGCTGTGCAGAGTGTTTGTTAACTTGTGTAAAAACATTGTAATGATAGTGTAGGGCAATTACAGACTCAGTTTGATAGGATAATAATGTGAGTGGTGGTTCGTGGACAAGCTTTTAACTCCTGGGGTTTGTCTGTTCAGATTGTGACTCCTGTTACAGTAGCTTGCATCTGCATTCAGCTGTGCGGTTCTTCAGTTGTGCACTTACTGTCATTGTGTTCCGTTTGTGCAGCGCTGCTTTCGTCGTGGTGTGAGGAGCTGGGACGGCTCTTGCTGCTTCGCCACCAGAAAAGCCGGCAGAACGATCCTCCAGGGAAGCTACCCATGCAACCCCCCATGAACTCTATGAGCTCCATGAAACCTACCCTCTCTCATAGGTGAGTCTCAGCCCAGTCCATAAGAGTGGCAGCCTGTACAGATGTACCGCATGACAGATTTGTTAATTGAAATGCTTCTTACCATTGATGGAGGTAGCTACACTGTTTCATGCACTGAACAGCACTACAGACAACAGGGGATCTGTAATTACAGCAAATACTAAATAAACTTGGGTTTTGTCTTCACTATTGCCTGGTGCATAGTGAAGTGAGGCTTCCATCTTCAAATCTGTGCTCAGATCAAGTGGGCTTGGTTTCAAACCTCAAGTTGTGCCCTAGAGATAAACTTCTACATGTCTCTCACCAGACATTTTCCTACCGTTTATTTAAATACAACTGGCTTTTCTTGAGGTTGAAAACATTTCACTGATGTTCTGTTTTTGTAAGTGTGGTTGGAAACGTATTGTATACAAAACATTTGTATAGTGAGCGTAGCCATAGATGGGAGAATGTCCTATACCGCCTTACATCAGGTGAGGATCACAAATGCAGGGAAAATGTGAGCATTAAAGGACATTAGAAGAAGCTGAAGATGTGAAGCTTTTGATTACCAAATTATGTAGAGGAGCAGTATTTGTATTTCTTGTCTGCAGACCCTAGGTCAAGGCAAAAGCTGAAGAGTAATTGTAGACAGGATTAAACATTCATTTCATGCTTTATGTTTCTGGGAGTTTTTTTTCAAGGCTTTCTTTCCCCATCACAAAGAGTATAAATTGTTTTTAATGTAGGGCACTTGTGTTAGTAAAGGATTGTAAAAGTGCAGGTGAGGCTAAATTCCTTGTACCTAGATTCCATGGTAGCATAAGTAACTTGAACTTTTGTGTTAGAATGGAGCTTAGGGACATCTTTTTACCAGTGCATTTGCATGTGTGAATTCGTCTGGAAATCACTTTTGGTTTGAGGTTGGGTTTTTTTTCCTTATTTGTGTCGTAGTTATGGGAAAACCATGCAAACACTATGTCTTTTATTATAGCCCTTAAGAATAAAGTCCTTTTTTGTGGTATAACTAATATAGTATCACTGACTTTTCAGAGTACCTGGATTGCTTCTTTTCTCAGTTGCTTATGAAATGATTCATTGTAAACACACTTTAAAAAAGACAAAACCGAAAACCTGTTGTTCTAAAATAACTTATTTTTGCACTTCAGAGAAGCTTTGCAGAAGCCAAGGTGAAATTAGTGGCCAGTCTGCAGAGAAAGTGTGGTGCAGTGTATACACTCTCTTAGGTGTACTTTTGTAGTTTTTAGATGCCTGATTCTCATCCAACCTTTTAGCTTCTGTTCCCCTAGAGTCTATAAAGTAAGGATGAATGCACTGTTCTATCTCACAGGGACTGTGTGCTACATTAGTAGATAAGGTAGGCACAACTGTTTTCTTTCATGGCAGTTTTCCACTGAAACTCTGTCACATGTCAAAAAATAAATACTTTCTTCTGCTAAACCTAAATACCAGCATTTCTGGCAATACCAAGTTACCCAATATTCTACCTAATAGTAGAACATCCTGCCCAGTATCAAACAGTCCCTATAAGTTTCTCTTGAGTATTGCCCTTGAAATGTTTTACTGAAGAAGGCACTGGGAGTCAGTTCTAAATTACTGCTGTTTACCTATGAGATGCCCGTCTAGAAACATAATTTCTGTGGCATAACTTCTTATCTATAATAGCTGCAGCAGCCTCTTAGGGATTTGGAATACCTGCATCACTGCTTCAGTGTGTGCTGTTGTCTCATCTGTAATTTAGCCATAACCATGACTGCTCAAAATCTCTCAGGTGGCACATTAGAATGAGACATCTTGTGGCTCTCCAACTTCTTTTTCCAGCTGGAACTGTTTATTTTCATGGATGTTTTATAATCAGTCTATAAGACAGTAGTGAAGTATGGGTGAAGAATTGAGTTTTCTGTTTGTTGGAATTAAACGAATGATGAAAAGCAATTAAGTACAATCCCAGTGATAAAGCTGTTGATGAAGCAACATTTGTATTTGCATTAGATTACGTTTGGGTCAAAAGCTTGGTATTAAAGTTCACAGGATCTTATCTCTAATTGACAAGGTTTTTGTGTGAATTCAAACAAACAAACAAAAAGTATGCTTTGCATTTCCTACAAGAAATTAATGTAGCCGGCTACTTCAAATTTTATAAAAGAATTAGATACTAAATTAGAACAACCAAGAGCATATTCAAGAACCTTATGTAGCTTAACAGAGGGAATACAAGATACATGTCAGCTGCCGAATATCACTAGACAAAAAAAAACCCTACCCCTGTTCACACAGAGCTTTTTCTGCTGTTGCTTTTACTAGGAACAAAATTACCCAGAACTCTAGTCAAGGACTAGAATCCCGATGTACCTGGCACTACAGAAACATAGCTGCTTAGTCTCAAAGTTGAAACAAGCCTCGGTTATTTAAAATAAATTCTGACTCAAGAATACATCACAAGAATCTAAATCTAAGGATTCATATTTAAGAAACTGTCTTCACATACACTGGAGGGAATTCAGGTCTGGCCTATTTTTAAGGAGAACCTTTTATTTTTAAAAAGTTAATTGAGTTGTGGGAGAAAACTGAAGTAGACAGATCAAAGAGGGCTTTGATATTGATACTGTTGGTCAAATGCACTTACAGAGAGCAGGATATAAGCCATACAAGGATGTGCGCACATGCAACAAGTGCTTTCAGAGTAAGGACTCTATCGTGCTAATTTCTTTCTAAATTTAGTTTTTCACTAACAGAATGATCGACTGTTGCATATAGAACAAAAATTCAGCTAAATACCTACTTCCTAATGTAGGGTGGTCAATTGGATTGCAAACTCCTGTGCTTTATGAACAGCATGACCACTGGATTCTCAAAAAAAACCCAAAGCAACCCCTCAACTTTTTTTTTTTTTTAAATCAGTATAGTGTAATAATAGGTTAAACTTGAGTGTGAGATTTGTTGATATTATTATTATTATTATTATTATTATACTTTTTTGCTGATTCATGTGGGTAAACTTCACTCCTGTACTGAAGGACCAGTATGAGACCTATCCACCTCCTTAATCCTGTATAACTTCTAATTTAAGTCCAGCTTAAAGGATTTATGGGGGACTTATAGAGAGCCGGTAGTCTTTGGGCTGGCCCTTCTGCATAGGAGTGAAATTTCGTGCTTTATAGCTTGCAGGGAGTAATGTAACTTTCTTGTGTTGTAGTTTTCTGATCTGGCATAATGTCTGTAATAACAGATACTACTCAAGGTGGCTGATTTTTTTTACTTTTAAATGAATATAAGGTCTTTGGCAAATGCTGTTATGCAAGTACAAATTATTGTCATTGTATACCTTCCTTTGCTTTGATCAAGTTCCTGCTTAACACTTCATTGCATTATGTGGTGGGCCTTTACATGTGGATCAAATTGAATCTTCCTTGACATGGGTACATTTTCCGTCAGTCCCAGCGGGAATTGCACCCTAGTTCAGTTTAAGGTGGATCTGACCTATGCAAGCCCTAGGAGGGTTCTCATTTCTTGCATAGCTTGTAGCAAAGCTTACTTTGTCAACAAAACCACCTGAAAATAGACAGCTGTTGGTTGCAGTTTGGTATATTATCATGAGCATTTGTCGAGTTCTTATTGTCTTCTCTCTCGCTCCAAATTTTGGCTTCTAAGTTAATTGCCAGCTGCCTTGCAGTTAGTGACCAAAGGGTAGTTATGTCTGTATAGGGCAGTCAAGATTGATGAAAAATATGAAGTTAAAATTATTTTTATCACAAATTACTTAGTGCTAGAGGTTTTGAGAAAATTAAACAGTAGATCAAATTAAGTAGTAATTCAATATTACAGTAGGTGCTTTATTTATTATCATTACTGTTTTATGTTCAGGCAATTGCCATAAATACCCTTTATTGGTTAGACTTGCTTTACAAGGGTGCTTATTTTAGTGTTTGTTTTGTCCCTTTTTTTCTTCCAATTTAAACTTTACTAAGAGCTGAACTTTCAACATCAGTAGGAGCTCTTGGAAAAGAATGGCAGTTCTGTGTCTGCATTTTTACTGGGTGGTTAGGATTGGCTTTTAGATAGTTTGTTAAGAATCAGGAGTGATCTGGCTATAACATACTAGTAGAAACAGTGTTAGAGTTGCTGCAAAGGTTGCTGCCTTTTCAATTTTGCCATCATAGGCGGTTTTAACAGTGATGGTCACTTTAAAAATGTCTGGGTGAGAGAAATGGTTAAAGTGAAAGGTCAGGTGCAGCATATACACACTTCTGTGAAAACAGGCACGTTGTGCATGTTTTAGACATCAATCTGAAGTCGGGGTTCACTTCGTTGCTGCGTGTGGCTGTGGCGTACAGGAACAATCTTTGTGAAAGAAATCAAAACTCTTCAGGTGAAAGATAAGATTGTTTCAAAGCGTTTTCATCTTTCTGTTTGTGAAGTTGTGAAATAAATATAATTAGGAACTGAACAGATGGTAAATCCTAATATAAGAGAATATACCCAGTAAAGCAACCTGTATTACTCCTAATTCTGCAAGAGCAGCCTCTCTTTTTCTTCTGTCTTCCTTTGTCAACAAATGTTAAAATCCACCATCAGGAGAAAATGAGGGAAAAGTTCAGAATCCAAAAATGTTTCCGCAGAAGTGCCATTTCTTAAAGAAAAAAACCCTCAAGGTTTGTTCAGAACAGTATTAAGTAAGGCCCCTGATGCTCTAAGCATTGTAAAGACAAAACTAATTGCTTGAAAGTACTGTCCCAAAATTTGTTTGCCTATCTTGTCCTCTGAGTGAAACCACTGATAACTAGTTTTAGCGCATACGCTTATTACGGGGAGGAGATGGAAGAAAACCTTGAAAGAACGTTGAAGCTAAAAGCAAATGATTAGTAGTGTCTAGCTGCAAACTGGTAATGTGTAACTATTAGCTGTTAATAATTAAATCTGTAATATTTTAATGTGAAAAATCTGCATTTCATTCTAGGTGAGATAATTTTGTGGTCTATTCTTGTGGTAACAGGAGAGAC